AATTATCGGTTAATGCAGCCAAAATAATTCATCCATCACACAGAGAAAGAGAGAGAGAGAGGTGAAAGAGAAGATGAAAAAGGGATAGAAAGAAAAAAGAATATTAGCTTTTATTTGTAAATTTCACGAGAAATACAATAATCGTAAATTTATCAGTTTCGTAAAAAAATTACGAATTGGTCGTTCTCACCACACTGCCAGTTCCAAGGACAAAAGAATAAAATGAACGAACGACGAAGAAGGTGCACGAATTAGAGAACGTCGGCTCAATGACCAGACGCAGTTAGACTCGCGGACGTTTAATTACGTTTGCTTGCACCTAAGGCTAATTCGCCAATTAGTTAAATTGTGACGTCGTTCACGCTGCGAATCGGAACTCGATGACGAGTTAATTGTTTGCCTTTCGTTGAGCTTTTTACCCGGCGAAACGCCGCGTCGAAGAATCCTTGTTGCTGTGAGCCCAGGATCTAGATTGTTTCGAGCTTCACTTTCCTTCACGTTCCGTCGAGGGAATTGTTCCGCTTTTGTTCCGCCTTGTCCTTTGAGATTGGCGTGCGTTTCTTGCGCCTGGCGTTGATTAAAGAGACGATTCACACGTCTCTGCGAACGGAACGTGTATTATCAGAAACTATTCTCAGACCTCGTATGTATCACCGATGTTTGCGAAAATTGAAATCATTCTGTACTTGCATGGAACACTTTTTTTTTTTATTGAATCACGAGAACCGAGTTCAAACCGGTTCGCATAATCGTGCCGTATTTTCCAATAATTTCGCGATTGAAATACAGCAGAATCTGGGTTATTCGAACTCATCACGGATAATTAAATATTCTGTAATAACAATTGTTCCAAACAACAGTGCAATTTTTCATTAATCAACGCTCCAATAATAATCCATCGAACTGATGACCTGATCTATAGGTTCCACCATCGTCGCGTCTGAAAAGAAGTAATTAATTCCACGACTACGCGTCCCCTACCTCCTTGTTTCCCCCTTGTTGATGGTGTTTTAATCACATCGCTGACAGACTCTGCTCGCGTGAAAATCGGGAATTCAAATGGAACATTTCCCAGCCAAAGACGAAACTCTGTATCGTGGAAATTCCAGTTTATGATATATTATTTTCCATTGAATCTACAAGTGAAAAAAACCGGCGGACGCTGGTGGCTTATTAACCTCTTGATCGCCGCGTATTTTCAATTTAAAAAAAAAAAAGTACTTTTACTAATAAATAAGTAATTTAAATATTTTTCACTTACATAATTAGGATGAGCCACAATCAATTAGGATATAATTTGCACAAAAAAAAGACACTTTTCACTAGGGTTGCCACACGATAGATCAAATTCTAAAAATTAAAAAAATGGAAAAAGTTATATGCACGTTTGTTCAATTTGAAATGTTATAATTTTATAGTCTAAAAAGTACACATATATATTATACACAATAAAACTAATATTTATGTTGGGCAGAGAGAAATTTTACAATTTTCGCACGCGAATTTTGTTTCTTGCCTTTTTTTCGAAGCAAGACACAA